TCACATCTCCCCCTTCAACCCGCCATTGATGGAGCACTGGCATAATGGAATCTCTAGGGTTTCGAATATGCCAAACCCTACTATGCAGAAGCTCAAATGGGGGTGATGAGGAGGAGGGCAGCACCTCAGTGGAGTAGAATAGTGTACCAAAAATCCTAGACATATTTTCATAAGGCTGCTGGACAGATTTTCATAAACCCTACCCTCTTCCCAATTTCCTCTTCTCAACCAATTTCCCCTTTTCTGAAACTGAATAACCTCCATTGTTAAGCGATTTAAAAGAAGTGGGGCCCACACCAGGTAACGGAATGTAGGGGGTATTTTGAGACGTTTCAAAGCACATGTGGTAATCTGAGACAACTTTGAAAGCACAGGGGGTATGTACATAAATAAGCCTTTTATTCATTCAACAATAGATGGGTACAAGGCTTTATAGAGGACTAGGCTTATCGGCCTTCAACAACTAGAAACTGTTTGCTAGGCTTATTGGCCTTTTGGCTTATTGGCCTCTGATAAGTGCATTATTTCCTATATTTTTATACCTCTTATATTTGGTTTTTGTTGGGAAAGTTAATTAAAAAGAGCATTATTACCTTACTTTCCTTATTTTCAGCTATTCTGCGCTCTTGGAAGGATTTCAACTGGAAAATCGACTTTTCGAATGAATTTTAGCGCAATGCCAATTGGAGAAGAAAGAAAGGACATTGAAGATCATTATGTTAAAGTTTCAAAATTTTCTACCAAGCCCAATGCTCCAGACTTGCATGTCAAGACAGCCTAAGTTGAAATCCCGTCAGAACTGCACTGCTGTGGAAGATTGAAGATTTGAAGACCTTTCTTATGTTTCCTAGTGGCTTGTACTATGTTTCTCATATTTTTCCAGAATTTTATAGGAAGTGAAATAACCCCAAAACATGCATGCAAATTGGCTGACGTGTTTCCAAGTCAAAGAATGATTCTTTCCTAGGTTGTTTCCTTAATTGTTTGAGATTTTGTTTTGTTTTAGGAGAGTTTTTCCAGACCTTTTAAGAGTAGGGTTTAGTTGTTTTACACTATATAAGGTCACCCTAAACTCTCTCTATACAGGATCTCTTGAGACCGTCATTTTTTCTACCATAGACTTTTCACCATATTTCACTACACCCACAAATATATCAAAGAGAAAGCCAAGAGTTGCTGCTGCAGTGCTTTTGGAGCTTACAAAGTGGTTGCTGTGGAGAATCCAGATATCAAATCCATTGGCCAAATCGATTTTATGACAACAATTCTCTTGTTTATCTTTTCTTTTGTCATGAACTAATTTTCCTTACTAGGGCTATGATGTAGCTTAAACATGAATACTTAATTTTTAGAGTTATATTAATTTCTGATTATTAATCCATGTTGAGTATTTGTTACTGTTCTTAATGCTTTGAATATCTAGCCAATATTTAATTGATTTGATGATCCAAGCAGAGACCGAGAGGAGATGATTGGTGTTTGCTTCTCGTAACAAATATCATGTCTTGAATGAGTGCTCGAGAGGGACTAACATGACTCATGCAGTTTTCTTACAGGTTCTCATAGAACTTAATGGGTTCTTGATTTTCTAAATCTGTTGCTCGAGAGAGAATGGGTTGTTAATTGAGAGTATTTTTGGTTGAGCCCGAGAGGGGATATCGAATGAATTAGGAGAAACCAACTGTCAACATGGATAGTAATTAAGGTTAATTGGCTATAAGAATTAAGTGAAATTGGTTATGGTGAAACAGATGCTTTAGTGTTTCATCAACTTGATTCTCCATCATTAATTAAATTGCTATTTTTCATAATTGTTTTAGTTTAATTAAATCAATCAATCTTCTTAATCAACTGTTCAAATAAACTTCTGAATGAATCATAATTGGTAGTTAATAGGAAATTACAATTTTCGTAGGAATAACACTCTACTTATTTCTATATTACTTGTATGAATTGTGCCCTTGCAATAATTTCACAACAGCCTCTTCTCTCTCTTAGCTCACTTGTACAAGAGACAACACCTATTTATACACTAAGGCTGTTGCCATTGTCCAAGTCGGTGGACTTGGCTTCTTCTCATAGCCACTACTTTACAATATAATATTACCTTATCACAAGATTTTTATTATGACTTTTCTAGAGTTTTCTACTTTTTTTAGATATTTCTAAATTCTTCAAGCGTGTATTAAATTTAACACTCCTCCTTAATGCACACTTGGAGCTATATTGCTAGATATTCTGATCTTGTTGATGCCATATTTTTTGCTTCTGCTGATAATTGAGCTGCAGTCTCTGTCTTCCAGTCATTACCGCTGCTATTGATATGCCAATTCGTGTTGTCTTTTTCTGATGGTGCTGGTCACGCATATAATAGAACACATGCTCGTACTTATCATTTTCTTCTGTGTAGTTAGCTTGATAGTTTTTTTTGAATCGACAATCTTTTTCTATATTCCCAAATCTTTTGCAATTCCAACATTTTGGTATGCCTCGGTACCAACAATCTTTCTCTTGGTGGCTTGTCTTTTTGCATACTCGACACGGAGGATAGTCTTTCCTCTCTGCAATTTCTCTTTTATTTTCCCAATTATTGTTGGATTCATTTTCTACTTATCTAGGTTTTTTTCATCATCTTTAGAATTCTAAGACCTTAAATTTAGTTTCGACTGGAAGGCACTTTCTACTGGACTTTCATTTCGCCTACTTAGGCCTAGTTTGGGATTGCTGCCGATTTAAAAAAAAGTTGCTTCAGCTGTGCTTTAAAAAGAATCAACTGTAAAATAAAGCAGTTAAACATTTGGTAAACTGTAATTTTAAAAGTGCTGTGAGTATGAAAAGCAGTGTCAGAGCGTTTGGTAAATTTTACAGTAAAAGTACTGTGACTATTTATAATGACTAAAATGGACATGATGCTGAAAATGCTTTTTACTAATCTATTTGGTAAAAAATAAAACTGTAAAGTGCTTTTATACTTTTCTCCCTAAAAATTATATTAATCTTTGCTTAAAGAAAATAAAATTTCATATTGAATAAACTCCAACAAAGATAATTATTTATTGAATAAATTTCAACAAAGATAAAGAGATCACCACAGTAGTATGTTCATACACCATCCTTGATATTGAATAAGTAATAAACATTTTTTTAAGGTTTGAATTGTAGCAATAATTTTTTTTTTTGAAACTAGGCTTAAATAAATGGAAATAAAGAAAATGCCTAAGAAGATGCATGCATTAAACTTGCAGCAATCTTGTTCCTTAATGTTTCTAGTTCTTGTGCTCCAGGCCCTTGAGTAATATGATATTCTTCTTGTGCATCACCCTCCATCTCCATTGCATTTGGGTTGTCATTCACTTTGTCAAAATGAATATCACGTTGGGCATGCCTCCTTATATAGTTGTGAAGTGCCATAGTTGCAATTACTATCTTCACTTGCTTATCGAATGGATAGCTAAGCATGTCTCATAAATTACTCCACTTTTTCTTCCATACACCAAAAGTGCGTTCAATGACACTCCTAAGGGAAGAGTGTAGGTGATTAAATACTTCTCTAGAACCTGTTGGTTGAGTACCCCTACGGAAATCTGGAAGATGATACCTTTCACCTTTATATGGTCCCAAATACCCGCTCATTTGTGGGTAACCCGCATCCACAAGATAATATTTTCCTGTAACCAATAAGATATGTTTAATTATAATATGATTTGAAAGTGCAAAAATTTGAAGTTTAATGATATGCATATATTTGAAACATTACCATTTGGAGGTTTGGGAAAATTTAAAGCATTATTTCGTAACGTTGATAAAAATACTCTTGTATCGTGTGCAGTGCCTTCCCAACTTGCACATGCAAATATGAATTGCATGTCAAAATTACATGCAGCCATTATGTTTTGAGTTGGTATTCCTTTCCTGCCAATGTATGGTACTTGATCTTCAGGAGCTATTGAGGCTTTAACATGTACGCCATCTATAGCACCAATGCAATCCTGCAAACAATAAGAGAAACATTTTAATAAATATTACTTTGTTCCTAAAACAAATGATAAATTGTTGTATCTAATTTTTACCTAAAAATGGGGCATATATCTTGAATCTCTCAATATCTCTTCCGAGACTAACTTAAACTCAGGATCCAATGGTTTTATGATATCAACGGCCATAAGGCATACAATATCAAGTAATTTACCAAAGTATCTACTCACAATTTCACCAGAATGTTGAAATTGTTCTTGTGCTAGCCTATTCCCTATTCCATGTCCTAGAATGTGCACAAACATTCCCAACATCTCAGCAGCACACATTCTCCTAGAACCTCTCAACCCATAATTATTTTCCAAGTCAGTGCATAATTGCAAAAATACACATTTATCCATTCTAAACATTCTATAACAACGTTTTTGATTCCCCGTAACATTTCCATCACCCACTTATTTCCTGTTTGAAAAGAATCCATACAAGGACTTTTATGAATATACTTCTCATAATAATATTCCATAGTACGAATACAGACACATACAATTTGGTTGAACACGAATACAAACACATACAATTTGGTTGAACTCCCCTTCATCTTATGAAATTTCCACATCTTGCAATAAACCTGCAGTGTTATAGACATATGCATTGATATAAATAAAAGTCATATGAATTTTCAATAAAAACAACCATCCAAATAACAGTCACATATAACTAACCATCTAAATAACAAATTCAAATAGCAAACCCAAATACGACACCTAAAAAATAAATCCAAGTAGCAAAACAAAGTTCTAAGAAATATTAGACATTGAAGCTTGATCATAATAAATCCAAGTGCAGTTACCTTATACACTAAGGCTGCCGCCATCGTCCAACTCGGTGGACTTGGCTTCTTCTCATAGCCACTATTTTACAATATAATATTACCTTATTACAAGATTTTTGTTAAGACTTTTCTAGAATTTTCTACTTTATTCTAGATATTTCTAAATTCTTCATAACACATATAAAGTAAAACTTCAAATTTTGGCAAACTCAATCGTACTCTTCCCATCATGAGCCTTGCGGAAGAAATGCTTGACATAATCAGAATACAGAACTTGCTTATACACTGCTTTCTCCCCACTTGCAAGCACTTCCGGCAGTGGAGAGATCAAATCCGACGGCCTCGGGTTGACAAATATGGGGACTGAAATCCTGTTCTTACTTCCATTCGCAGCCACTCGATGCTCGATGCTCTTGTATCGTCCGTTGCTCATGATTTGGAGTGCATCACCAATGTTGATCACCAACGACCCCTTCACCGGAGGGACATGAATCCAACTCTTCTTGTCGGTGCCACCTCGCACGTAAAGCCCGCCAATCTGGTCTTGAAGGAGGACAGTGAGTGTTGAGACGTCGGAGTGGCGGCCAACTCCAACTGTGAGCTCAGGGTTTGGGCAAATGGGGTAGTAATTGAGATTAATCCGCCTGGATCCCATTAGAAGACCTTCTTTTTCTTGGTCTATTTCTTTCACATTTAGTCTCTTCATTAGCATATCTAGGAGCCGTTTTATGAGAATTTCGGAATTCTTCATGTATTCAAGCACTTCATCCCTACAAACATATAATTATTAGTCACTTCATATATATACATGCATATAATTATTAGTCAATTCAAATTAAGTACATAATTAACATGTGAGTTACAAAATAGAACCGTCCTATCCAATCATCATGCTACCTACCATGTCGGATATCATTAGAATGATAACATTAATAGGATATACATGCATATACAAAGTAGACATTAAGGGCTCGTTTGTTACACGAGACTATCTTGGTTTGACTTGGTTTGGTCTAAGTTGGATAAAATTTATCATGCATTTGGTGTATGCTTAGACTAGCACTAGATTTTTTTATTTTTTCAAAAATATCTATATATATATATATGTATATATGTATTTTATAATATATATAATATATGTATATATACATACATATGATATATATGTATATATACATACATATGATATATATGTGTATATACATGTATACATGTATATTATAATAATATAAACATATATATGTGTGTGTGTACATATTTATATTATAATATACGTGGGTATAATACATATACATATAATATACATGTATATACATATATATATGTATATTATAATATACATATACATATATAAATATATTATAACATATAATATACATATATACACGTATATACATGTATATAATATATGTGTATACAGGTGTATCTATATATTATAATATATACATGGGTATAATACACATACATATATATATATATGTATATTATAATATATATGGGTATGTTATAATAATAATATACATGTATATACCTGTGTACCAAACAACCCCTAATAGTAAGTGAAGCTTACTTGCAGGCAGGAGGCCAAAGTGCAGAGGCCTCATCCTCAGAAACGTAGAAGAGACTAAGGTAATCTTTCCACTCCAAAGCCTTCTCTGCTTGAGGGCTAAAGCTCGTCCCAAACCGGACGTTGTTCGAACACGAATGCTCTTTCGAATTCTTACTCTTCTCCTCAGCTGGCAACTCAAAGAAGCGATGAGTTGCCTCCTCCACATTCTCAAGCACTTCAATGGGCACCCCATGGTTGACAAGTTGAAAAAACCCCCACTTCTCTGCTGCACTGCAAATAGCTTCTGCAACTTTCGGGTCGTCCCAGTTTGACATGTCGATTATGGGAACAGACTCTTCGGAGTTTTTGATCCCAAAACTCGCAGTGCTAATTCTCTCTTCAAGGGGCTGGATATATTGCTTTGGAAGGCTTTTGAGACCCAAATCTGAAAGACCCTTAACTCCATTGCCTTTGTTTATAACAAAGTCGATGATACTTGAAGGGCTGGTCATGGTTGAAGCCATTTTTCCTCTGGTATAATTTTGGGATTGGCCTCTAAATACTCTTGTTGAAAAAGCAATGGATATTTGTGTACGTACACAATTCTAGAAAACTCACGGACGCTCATGTTGCTAGACTATGACGCGTACGATGAAGCATGATGGCTAAACATACAATAGCCACAAAAATGATATTGTACAGTATAGAATATTCTAGATGAAGCCACACTTGTGGTTGGAGTAAAAGAGACCAAGGTGGTCGGTCTGGTCAAGTCGGCAAAGATGCCTATAAGAGCAGCTCCAGCGCTGCTATCAAACTGGGCAAAAGGCCCCCTCGGCAAGCCCAATGCAGCACCAGCGCACCACTTGCAGCCCGGGCAAGCCCAAGGTCAGATTTTGCATGGGCTTCAGCCCGAGGGCGCTGACGTCAGCGAGCAAAAAAAAATTCAAAAAAATTATAAATGGATGTTTTCCCTGTAAATACATAACAATTTTATTCACTTTCCCTATAAATACATAACAATTTTATATTTTGTTGCATATATATAATTTTTTTTTCTTGCCCTTTACTTGCCTTAGACTTTGCCCTCATGGGTGGAACCACAAATGCAAAGGCTGACACTATTCACGTGAATAGTTGCAGCCCTTACTTGCTCTTGCCTTAGACTTAGCCTTTGTGGGTGGAAGTGCTCTAAATAGGCATGCAAATTGCAATGCAATAATGAGTCCAACAAAAAGAACTCCCAAACTATTAGAGCAACTTCACCCATTTGACATTTGCCATTTGCCATTTGCCATGGCAAGGGGGGGCTAGGGCACCCACTATTCGAGTGAATAGTGGTTGACCTTACAAAAAGCATTGTGTGTTTCCACCCATTGCCATGACAAAGGGCAATTACTATTCATTTTTTTTTTCACAAATTTTTTTACCTCAATAATTAATTTGGATAATATTTTCGGATAAGATTTTCGGGTTTCTACGTGTCAAGACTATTCATATCTCATAATCGAATAAATTTTCCAGATAAGATTTTTGGGTTCAAATTTCGGATGAATTTCAAAATTCAAATTTCAGATAAATTTCAAATTTAAAATTTTCATATAAGATATCATGCTCTAAGCCCCTCTAGTTTCAATAGAAGAAGCCATAATATGATAGAGAAAAATAAAACTTGAAAGTGAAAAAAAATTGAGTAGAAAGTGAATAATAGTAGAAGGATACGAAAATGTATGAGGATTTGGTTTAAAAGTGAAGAGTATTGGTTGGTATTTATAGAAAAAAAAATTAAAAAAAAAATTCTATTTTTTTTCATTTTTTCAATTGCACAAAAATTGACTGCCGTTTGATTGGAGAAAAAAATCTGATCGGAGAGCCCAGAGTGTGACACGTGAACTGTAACAGCACTGTAGCGCTGTACACTGTGGCACTGTAACATTTACGTCATGGTAAAACTCGGGCTGAAGCTCGGGCCAGCCTTGCTGGAAATGCTCTTAGGAGTCAAGAGCTACCTAAAATCCTAAGCTAGAAAAGCTAGGAAACTAGGCAACAAAACTAGCTATCTAGCTAATCAACAAAAATCGTACTCTTCCCATCACGAGCCTCTGCCTTTCCCATGAAATGCTTGACATAATCAAAATATTATATTGCTTTCTCCCTACTCTTGCAGGTACTCCAACAGCGGACTGTTCATGTCAGACGCCCATCCCTTCTAGCCCAGCTTTGTCACTGCACATAGCCATGTTAGTCGTTCACCTACCAAAGTAGTAGGATAACTTTTTTTTTTTTTTTTTTTGTGATTATCACACTGTTGTTAGTGTTTGAATGTTTAGCTGGGTTTCTATGGAAGATTAGATTAGAGGAAGAAATTGAGAGAATAGAGAAAGATTCAAAACGGCAGAAAAATGCTCTGCTCACTCTCAAAGTCTGAGAGTGAGTGTATATTCAGTATCTATCAAACACGCACACAAGGCATGAGTACATAACCGTTAGCCTTAGCTGGATGCACACAATCAACAATACAATCTCAGCCTTACACTTGTCATAATCTAAGACTAAGTGAATACACAATTTAAAACAAGGCTTATTTACTTTAACTTTACTTAGCTCACAGCTTATACACTAATACTCCCCTTTAAGCTTTAAGCTGATACAACTCCAAGCTTATCTCTGAGGTAGTTGAATCTTTCTTTTGGTAAGGCCTTAGTAAAAATGTCTGCCACTTGTTCTTTGGTTGGACAGTATACCAAATCAACAATTCCCTGCTGCAAGGCATCCTTTATGAAGTGATATCTTCTATCAATGTGCTTAGTCCTTTGGTGAAACACAGGATTTTTTGTTATTGAGATTGCAGATGTATTTTCACGCTGCAAAGGAGTTGCTTCAGCTTGTAACTCTCCAAAATCTTCAAGAACAAACCTAAGCCATATAGCTTGAGTTGTTGCTTCAGCAGCACTTATATACTCAGCCTCTGCAGTGGAAAGTGCAACACAATTTTGTTTCACAGAAGCCTATGAGAACACTCCACTGCCAAAGGAAAAAGCATAGCCTGAGGTACTCTTGCTGTCATCTATTGATCCTCCCCAGTCACTATCACAGAAACCAACTAAAACTGCCTTCTTGCCTTCATATAATGCAAACCATAGTCCAATGTTCCTTTGATATATCTGAGCACTCTCTTAGCTATCCCATAGTGCTTGTTAGAAGGACCATGCATATATCTAGCTAATAAGCTAGCTGCATACATCACATCTGGTCTTGTAGCAGTAAGATACAATAAACTGCCTACAAGCTTTCTGTATTTCTCTTCATCTGCAGCACCACTTCCATCTTCTTTACTTAACTTTTCAGTAGCCACAAGAGGAATAGAAACAAATTTGCATTCTTTCAATCCAAACTTATCCAACAGGGAAGAGGCATACTTCTTTTGATGAATGAAAATGTTAGATTCTGTTTGAATCACCCCCATTCCCAGAAAATGGTGAAGAAGACCCAAGTCTGACATCTCATACTTCTCCTTCATATCTTCTTTGAACTCATCCAGCATATCTTGATTGTTTCCAGTATACACAATGTCATCCACATAGATGGAGACTATTAGTATATCCTTTTCTCCTCTTGTCTTAGTGTAGAGGGTTGCTTCACTTAAGCTTTTCTCAAACCCACACTTAGCAAAATAGCTGTCAATCTCTCCATACCAGGCCCTAGGCGCCTGTTTCAAGCCATAAAGAGCCTTGTATAGTTTGTAAACCTTATCTTCCTTGCCATTAATCACAAACCCTTCAGGTTGATCAACATACACTTCTTCCTGCAATATTCCATTTAAGAAAGCAGACTTAACATCTAATTGAAATAGCTTCCAGCTTCTTTGTGCAGCAAGAGCAATCAGAGTTCTGATGGTATCCAGTCTAGCAACTGGAGCAAATGTTTCATTATAGTTAATACCCAGTTTCTGCACATACCCTTTAGCAACCAGCTTTGCCTTGTTCTTTTGTACAAAGCCGTCTAAATTCAACTTGGTTTTGAACACCCATTTCACATCAATAACCTGCTTATCACTTGGTCTGTCTACAAGCTCCCAAGTTTCATTTTTCTCAATCATGGACAGCTCTTCTTCCATTGCTTTTATCCAAGCCTTATATTTTTCAAGTTCCACAATGCATAGATTGCATTGTGCTAGAATGTCATTTATGTTTCTCCACTTCAATGGAGTATGATCGTAGGGCTGAGAGATATCTGCATGCTCATGAATGACATTCTCTTGTTCTTCAGCATGAGAGAAAATACAGGGACTAGAATGACTTCTCTCAACTTCAATCAACTCATGTGAAGTCACTTCAATTCCATTTTCAGGTTGATTTGGAATATAAGTCATAGCAATAGAATTTTCTGAAGTTTCCTTCCAGTTCCAGGTCTTGGTTTCAACAAAAACCACATCCCTTGACAAAATCAGCTTCTTAGTGCTTGGATCAAATACTCTGTACCCTTTCTCACAGGTTGCATAACCACAAACACACCTTTGACAGACTTTGCATCAAGCTTTTGTCTTCTTTCAGCTAGTACATGCACGTAACAGAGTGATCCAAACACCTTTAAGTGACCAATTCCTGGTTTTCTCCCACTATAGGCTTCAAAAGGAGTTATGTTATGAAGCGCTTTTGTAGGTGATATGTTTAGAATATAAACAGCTGTATGTACACCTTCTGCCCACAGAAAGTATGGCATGCTTTTTATCATAAAGCATTGCCTTAGCCATCTCTACAACTGTTCTATTCTTTCTCTCCACTATTCCATTTTGCTGTGGAGTATAAGCAATGGATAACTATCTTTGTATGCCTTCAGATTCCAACAACTTGCTGAATTCAGTTGAGAGAAATTCTCCCCCTCTGTCACTCCTTAGGCATTTCACTTTGAATCCACATTGTAACTCCACCATTGCTTTGAACTTTCTGAAACAGATTAGTGCCTCAGATTTATGTCTTAGAAAATAAACCCATGACATTCTTGTGTGATCATCGATAAGCAACATGAAGTATTTATTCCCAGCAATTGATTCATTTTGCATGGGACCACACAAATCTGTGTGTACCAATTCTAGAGGATTCTTAGCTCTCCAAGCTTGTCCTTTTGGAAACCAATCTCTGTGTTGTTTTCCCATTTGATAGCCTACACACACACCATCAACATCTTCCAGGCGTGGAAGACCATGCATCATTTCGTTTTCTCTAAGCTGCTTGAGGCTTCTAAGATTTAGGTGCCCTAGTCTCTTGTGCCAAATCCAGGTACATTCAGTCACACTAGCCTTCAATGCAATTTGATCAGTTTGCATTAAAGACATAGGGTAGCACCTATTATTTTTCATGTTAACCTTGATAACCAGACAATCAAGTGAAGGACCATCAAAGATACAACACTCTCTTCCACCAAAGAGCAAATAATATCCATGTTCATCCATCTGTCCCACTCTCAACAAATTTTCCTTCAAACCAAGTAGAAACATGACTTCCTTGATGCATTTTCTACCAGAATTTGTATCAATCATAAGTGAACCTATTCCAGCAACATCTACCAGATTTCCAGTAGGCATTTATACTTTTCCAGTAACATTTGTCCTTACATCCATAAGAAGCTCAGCATTTCCAGTCATGTGGTTGCTACAACCACTATCAATGTACCAGTTCCCATTCACCTTGACCTCAGTAATTGCACTATTAGCATAGAATAGATTGCCTGTCACTTCTGCTTGATTAGCACAGTTTGCCTTTTGAACAACCTTGCCTGCTGTGCATTCTCTAGCCCAATGCCCAAACCTATCACAGTTGTGACATTTGGATTACCCCTTGTATCGACATTCTCCAAAGTGAAACTTAGAGCACACCCTGCAATATGGCTTGACTGCATCTTGTTTCATAGATCCTGCAGCAGTTGAATTCTATGCAGGATTAGCAAATGACCTTTGATGGGACTGAGGCTTTGAATCCCACTTCTTGCCCTTTTCATTCCAGTTTTTCTTAGATCCACTTGACTGAGAATTACCCCTCTGTTGCTGACCTTTTGAACTCACAGAAAAAGAGCCAAAAGCCTTATCAGTAGCATCAACAGTGTGCATATCAAAGCGTTGTTCCTGGCTCTTAAGAATTGCCAGAACCTCCTGTAAATCAACCTCGTCTATACACTTCGTATTCTTAATCACAAGATAGATGGGATCACAAGGTTTGCTAAGACTTATTATGTAACACCCCGACCCCAAATTTATCCCATGTTTTAATTTATTTAAGTGGAATTGAGAAATTACCCGTGGGATAGGGGTATTTTAGTCATTTTCTTATCCGGAAGGAATTTGGGAATTTCGGTTGTACCGTTGCGTAGAGCACGGTGAGATGAGTCCGTAGACACGTAGTGGGCTCGAATCGGAGTTGTAACGAGAGAGATATGATCAAATGAAGCTCAGTGGCATAATCGTAAATATTTGGAAATTGGATTTTTGGTTAAAAGACGGAAATGCCCCCGTCTGTCTCTCTCTCTCCCCCGCGAGTCTCTCTCTCTCCCCGACGGCAGCTCCCTCCTCTCTCTCTTCGAAACTCCGGCCACCGTCCATGGCAGTGGACGGGACCGGTGCCAAAAGGACCGGCTCAGTCTCGCCGGCGAGACCTGGGC